GTCTTGCAGATTTAAGATTCAGAGTTTGATAATAGTCAAATGATCTGAGAGACTCAGAGTTTCTTTTATAGAATGTACTTATCAAATGTTCTGAAATAGTCAGATTAAATGTTAGATAGAATAAATATGTCTGAAGTTTCATTCTGGTGAAGTTATATTAAACAATTCAGATCTATATTTTCTCCCCCTTTTTTGTCATAAGCAAAAAGTAAAAACTTTAAAAGGACAAATAAAAGGAAACAGTAAATCAGATAATATAATGGAGAAAACTTTGATTCATTCATAAGATCAAATCAAGAGTACATAGGCAAACATCAGAAGATATAGCAATAAAGTACATATGCAAACAACAGATGCAAAAACATTAGAATGAAAAAAAAATCTAAGAGTGTTTGGACAAAAGCATCTTCAATAGATCTGTAATCTCAGAGGTTGATTGCTCTTGCTTGGAAATCCACTTAGCCATAGTTTCATTCTTTTCATCTTGCTTTGACATCCATTCTGTCATATCCTCAGACTTCTTATCCTGCTTTGCCATCCAGGATTTGATCTCTGACTGGCCAGCTTCCAGAGCAGCAATCTTATCTTCAAAATCTGGATGTTCTTTCTTTATCTCAGATGAAGAAGTATGATTAGGTTCTGTAGCCTGAACAGAGTCAATTTCCATTAGTTCTGGAGTATTGGAAGTAGAAGGAGGGTCTACCAGAGTCATAGCCAATTGATTTTCTTCAGATGCAGTTTCAGTAGATTCTATTGAAGATGGAGGAGCATCTAGAAGAAACAGAGGTTCAGATTTGTTGACAGTCCAGAATAGAGTCCTTGCAGCCTCAGCAAATCTGAGCTTTGCATCATCAGAACAGACGTTCTTCAGATTTGAACCTACAGAGTTGAATCTGTTGATGAATCCATTCCAGATGATGTCAGATTCTTTGGCATCCATTGTTGCTGAGCATTTCTTCTGAACAGTACCTAAATACATCTGTATTCTTGCAAAAATGTTTGAAATAAATGATCAACATTAAGTCTGGGCTTTGGTCGTAACAGCGTTTCCAGAGTTACAGGTTTAGGTTGGGGAGTTGGTGGAAAAATTGATTTTTGGATGGAGATCAGAGGAGGAGGATAGTATGGAATGAAGGGTATCTCAGGTTTTTGAGGTTGGGATCTGTTTAAAGCATTTAACAGATGAGGTTTTGTTCTGGTGTGATTGGTAACAACATCCAAAGGTGTATCTGAGTAGGTTTTGAAGGCAGATTTGGGTGGTTCATCAGATGTAGCAGTGTTATCAGATGCAATTGTAATTCTTTAGTTTGGTCAAAATATTCTTAAATGATTGTTGAAATGAAGTGTAGAACTATGTTATGTTATATTATGTATTATTGATATTCTTGTATTAAATTTGTAATAAATTTTTGAAATATTTATTTCATTAAGTTGAGCACATATATAATAACATATGACATATCTATAAAATTTAATTTTATATTATTAATTTATTTAATAAACGGTTTGACCGTAGATTTAACCAATTATATCTTAAAAATTTTACCGATTTGATCTCCCCGGGTTTTTAAAACATTGATATAAATGATTGGAGACCCATAATCCAATCGATAAAATTTAATACTATATTAAATTAAAGTTTTGTCTAACTCATTTTTATAAAATCGACTTTTAAAATAAGATATGTCACACTAGATAAAAAAAATTTCAAACTCTACTTCTAACTAATATAAAACTTGAAATATTCCTAATAGAAATTATTCTCAATACAATGTTTGAAATTAAAAAAAAAAACAAAAACTAAATGTCATAATTTAAAAGAAATATAAAAAGTATTGGATCGTGAAGTCAATGACATTTTTTGAATATACATTAAATTTAAATTGATATATTACAATTGTTTTTATTTTTATATAGACAAATATTTATCTAAAATATATTTTTTATTTTAAATAAATTCAAATTAGTAATACATTATAATTATTTTGAAAATATAAAATAAATTTTAAACTAATTAATTAATCAGTGACAATCAAATATTTCACTAGTGTTAGAACTGTGTATGCAACTTAGATTCTTAGTGATCATTTATAGAAAAAAAAAAAAAATATATATATATATATATATATATATATATATATATATATATATATATATATATATATATATATATATATATATATATATATATATATATATATATATATATATATATATATTGGTTAAATTTTTGAAATATTTATTTCATTAAGTTGAGCACATATATAATAACATATGACATATCTATAAAATTTAATTTTATATTATTAATTTATTTAATAAACGGTTTGACCGTAGATTTAACCAATTATATCTTAAAAATTTTACCGATTTGATCTCCCCGGGTTTTTAAAACATTGATATAAATGATTGGAGACCCATAATCCAATCGATAAAATTTAATACTATATTAAATTAAAGTTTTGTCTAACTCATTTTTATAAAATCGACTTTTAAAATAAGATATGTCACACTAGATAAAAAAAATTTCAAACTCTACTTCTAACTAATATAAAACTTGAAATATTCCTAATAGAAATTATTCTCAATACAATGTTTGAAATTAAAAAAAAAAAAAAAAAACTAAATGTCATAATTTAAAAGAAATATAAAAAGTATTGGATCGTGAAGTCAATGACATTTTTTGAATATACATTAAATTTAAATTGATATATTACAATTGTTTTTATTTTTATATAGACAAATATTTATCTAAAATATATTTTTTATTTTAAATAAATTCAAATTAGTAATACATTATAATTATTTTGAAAATATAAAATAAATTTTAAACTAATTAATTAATCAGTGACAATCAAATATTTCACTAGTGTTAGAACTGTGTATGCAACTTAGATTCTTAGTGATCATTTATAGAAAAAAAAAAAAAAATATATATATATATATATATATATATATATATATATATATATATATATATATATATATATATATATATATATATATATATATATATATATATATATATATATATATATATATATATATATATATATATATATATATATATATATATATATATATTGGTTAATTTTTCTAAGAAGATTTTTATTAGAAAGTGAAATAAAATATTTTGGATTTTGAGGTATGTTATATTATGTATTATTGATATTTTTGTTTTAAATTTGTAATAAATTTTTAAAATATTTATTATATTAAGTTGAGAACATATATATAATAGCATACGACATATCTATAAAATTTAATTTTATATTATTAATTTATTTAATAAACGGTTTGGCAGTAAGTTTAACCGGTTTAACCAATTATATCTTAAATAGTAAATTTTATCGATTTGATCTCCAGACTGATTTTTAAAACATTGAGACCCATAATCCAATCGATAAAATTTAATACTATATTAAATTAAAGTTTTGTCTAACTCATTTTTATAAAATCGACTTTAAAAGTAAGATATGTCACTCTAGATAAAATATAATTTCAAACTCTACTTCTAACTAATATAAAACTTAAAATATTCCTAATAGAAATTATTGTCAATACAATGTTTGAAATTTCAAAAGAAAAAAGAAAAAACTAAATGTCATAATTTAAAAGTAATATAAAAAGTATTGGATCATGAATTCAATGACATTTTTTTAATATACATTAAATTTAAATTAATATATTACAATTGTTTTTATTTTTATATAGACAAATATTTATCTAAAGTATAATTTTTATTTTAAATAAATTCAATTAGTAGTACATTATAATTATTTTGAAAATATAAAATAAAAATTTAATTAATTAATTAATTAATTAATTAATTAATCAGTGACAATCAAATGTCTCTCTAGTGTTAGAACTAATATAAAACTTAAAATATTCCTAATAGAAATTATTGTCAATACAATGTTTGAAATTTCAAAAGAAAAAAGAAAAAACTAAATGTCATAATTTAAAAGTAATATAAAAAGTATTGGATCATGAATTCAATGACATTTTTTTAATATACATTAAATTTAAATTAATATATTACAATTGTTTTTATTTTTATATAGACAAATATTTATCTAAAGTATAATTTTTATTTTAAATAAATTCAATTAGTAGTACATTATAATTATTTTGAAAATATAAAATAAAATTTAAACTAATTAATTAATTAATCAGTGACAATCAAATGTCTCTCTAGTGTTAGAACTAATATAAAACTTAAAATATTCCAAATAGAAATTATTGTCAAAAAAAATATTTTGGATTTTGACGTAAGCCCCGTTCAGTTAGTCTCGAGGACCATGTGAATGACTGTGTCAATCGGCCAATTTCCTTGGCAGGACTGGCAAAGGCTCCAAACACGTCTCAGCCCTCACACCTGAAAGTGCGAGACCAGCCCCAGCTCAAAGATTACCCGTTTCCAGGGCCTGCATTTCTGCAGATTAGGCCCGGGGACTTTCCTGAGCTCAGCCTAAGCATGAACCCATTCACATCGTCTTAATCCAGTTAAATGTTATTGCACTCTCCCTTATTATAAACACCAATACAATAGTTTATATGAACGATGTGGGACTATATTACCACCTATTCTAGAATTTAAACACTATTTCTCCTTGGCTAAAAGAAAAATCCGAAACTACTTACTTTTTCACACTCAACTAACAACAGGAAACAAATTAGGCACACTAAATGCCTTCATTAACATGCCTTAAATTTCAATATTCATAAATAAGCATATTAATTAACTCCACCTGAGAAGCATCATGGCAGCAAGGAACATCTAAAATTCCTCTGCAGAGGGATTTCTTAGGCAGGAACCCATATCAGTCTTCACAGGTGTATGTTATTTACTTAAACTAAGCTATTTATTTAACATACGTCAGGAAAATACAAGGCCATATTAAAATACTAAAGGGCATTAGTCAAGAACATTTTTTGGGGCCTAAGATATCCTAACTAAATTACTTAGGCACAAGAACCGTTTCAGTTTGTCTAGGTGCTTAGTTTGCACGCTCTTGGAGGATTTCGAGTTCCATCTCTGTTGGGTCTGTTGCTTGAATCTCGTAATGGATCCCCTGCAGCTCCCTTCTGAACCTGTCTTTTGAGGTTGCATAAAGCATCTTAGGGCGGATTCGAGCCACAGAAGGAGACCTGTAAAATAACCCATTCTTAAACTCGAGCAAAATAAAGGGAAAAGAAAAATGTGTTTAATGCAACAGCAGTAAATAAAAGGTAAATCAGATTTTGAACTAACATTTTTCCAAAACTAAAACATGCCAACACCCAAAAGAATGAAGAAACGGTTGAGATGGTTTAAAATAGCATATGCAGCTACTTTGACACAATAGTTCACATGAGTTGAAAGGCAAAAGAAATTATCACGTGAATTTGGTGACAGACAAATACAATCACCTAACTCTATCATCCAAGAGGAAGGTACTGTTTTGGTTAAGCTTTGTGCTAGTTAACTTTACCAAAGTAATTAACCCCTCATAAATTGATTTATAATGTACAGTTGTAAAGCTTGCCAGCTAGAAAAACTTGGAGGGTAGCCAAAAATCACAAGTGTTCTGATTCATAAAATATGCATACTCAAAAAAGTATTACATTAATGACCAAAATAGATTGCAGTATCTTCCATGCAAAAGGCTCTGAATTTATATGAATGGTTCAAGCACTTAGTAATACCTCTTGTCAAAAATCTAAAATTATCATTAATCATTTATAAGTATTTTTTATCGAGAGTCTGGAATTTGAAGTGATTTTTGGAAGCCTATCAAGCGTCTTCTTCACACCCCACCATAAAAAAGAGTCACTCCCCAGTTCAACAAGGTACTAAAGTAATCTAATATAACAATATGAGTACAACTGACCCCAGTAATAGTAATATTGCTTGATATCTATTATATTTAGAATCAGAGTTTGGCTTTACTCATCGTTATAAAACCGGCTTGTAAGGTGAGGATTAACACCACTTATAAACATATATTGAGTTCATATCTTCTTCAATGTGGGACTCTTCAACAATATCTAGTGAAACTTGCACATACCATTAGCTGCTATTAGCATACATATTAATACATTATACAAAGAAGTCAGGTTCTTAAATAGACGTGACGATTCAGATTTAGGATTCGTCAAAGAACTTGCTTGAATCGGGTGTACTTAAGATTCTATGGTGAACCTTAACCAGAAGAATTTGAATACATTAATTATGCTAGATAGAATACTAGAGAGTAAGAGGAACCAAAACCTAGATAGAATACTAGAGAGTTGTATCATTGCATAGAATTCACGTCATTCACATGAGCATAGTGAGTACAATGCCCTCACTCAGTTTGTTGTCTTGGTTTATAAAAAAATCAGTGTTTTAAAATTCGAATGCAAGATATGTAAATGCAAGCATGCAACAGCAAAATGCAATATACACATATGTAACACACTGTATACTTAAACCAATGTAAGAAAATTGAACAAGTTATTATGTAACTTTTATGAGTATACAAGAGAGAAAGTTACTGACCATGCAATAAAAAAGATTTTGCTCTTTTGGCAGTTCTCAGAGGTCACAAAATCAAAGTCAAAAACGGCGTATCTGCAATCATTTTCAGGCAAAGATGCAGTGAAATCATCATAGCTCTCAGCAGGGCCACCAGTTTTTTCGACCACAACCTCTTTCGTTTTCTCATCAATTTTAAAAATCACATAGCGGTGCACTTTCTTCCTCTGTAATTCCTTGAATGTGCTTACACTGTGCTCAGCAACACCCATCCCAGAAGATGCATTTCCCTACAACAAAGATATATATTACTATTATTTACACGGAAATTCCAATCTTTTATTTTCGAACTCGATATCTATGCAAAACTGCCTTATCACGTTGAAGACGTGTCTGGTGTCTGATATGTGTGTCTGATATGTGACGAGCCCCGATTGCAAAAATAACTTCATGCAAGAGGAAAAATGAAGATTACATTTGACAACATATGTTATAGTCTAATTCATTAATTCTATTGGAATTTAAACCAAGGAAATGCATCAATTATGTCATTTCTAAGCATGGTAATGACCAAACCAACATGATACTTAAAACATGACAAAGTTTATTCAAATATGATCATATTTCTTTGGGTTTTTTTTTTTTGAGGCCCAAAACTTGTAGTTGGAAAGAACATCAAAATCAGCAGTGAATCAAACAAATCCGACAAAAACATGGCATAAAAAACAACATTTGATGAAATCAAACCAACAACAGCATGGTATTAAAGGGGAAATTTTTGCAATAATACTAAACAGAAGAGGTGAAGAAAAATAGGCATAGATGAATAGATGAGGGAAGGAAGAAGGAAGAGGAAAAGTAAGCTTACCCTTCCGATTCCCATTCTGAAAGCCATGGTTATTCAGCTGTTACAGTGAGGAGTCAAGAATTTTGATGGATTTGTAGAGAAAATGAGAGGAGAGAATTATGTGGAGACAAAGTATGAGTAAATGCAACCAGCCACATAAGTTAAATATAATTTTTATGTATATAAAAAAAATAGTGAAAGAATAATGCTGGTCTTTAAAAATAGTCTCTCTAATTTTCATTGAAATTTGAGAAGTGAGATAAATATTATATACTCTCTCTGTTTTAGAATTCAAGTAGATATCAGTAGATTAAGTAAGTTCTATATAAATTTAAGAAGTATTTAAATATGAACAGCTCTATCCGTTTTTTTATTATAAATTGTTTTTCACTTTTCATATATATTAAAAAATATAATAATTATAATTTAGAAAAGATAAATTACGAATGATAAAGACAAAACATAACTAAAAAGATAGAGAATAATAAATATTTAAGAGTATAATGAGAAAAATAACATTAATGATTAATTAATATTATAAACGACTTATAGTGTAGTGCAATTTTTTTTCCAAAAAACAACTTATAATAAAAAAACGGAGATAATATGATACAAATGCAAATTAAGAAGATCTATGAGCATTTAATTTGTCACCCTTACCGACATCCTTCATATTGAACAATTTTATCTTTATATTTTGAAACAAATTTTGAAAATTTTGAAATTTATAGTTTATATTAGAAATTTTGAATCTATACTGGAAATTTTATAAATTTACATTTTTTAATGCTACCATGACACATGTATCGTAAATTTAAAATTTTGATAAAAATATATTAAAATTTTCGGTAAAAATATATCAAAAATTATGAATTTTATGTAAAATGTCACAAAACTCTAAAAATTTTAAAATTTCTGGAATTTTGAAAATTTTAAAATTTTCGATGTGAGCGTAGAATTTCAAAAAACATAAATTTTCGATATTGTTAACACATTGGCCTAAATAAATGGTTCGATAAAAATTCACCACATATAATAGATACATATTTTTCACAAAAGTTGTGCTAAATACAAGATTACAAAACAAATTAGGATGACTTCTAAACTTCATCTTCTTAGTGCCTAATCCATCCTACATATGCTGATTTCCATACTTTTGCATCTTCAGTACAATTTTGTCTCCAACGGTCACTGACAAGAGGCAACGAACTATCAGGTTTCAACTTTACCTAAACCCAATAATTGTTGTTGACAAAACCAACAACCATAACTTTATGCATTGCTCGTATACATAGGTGGAGTTAAGGTAAGAGGGGAAAACGTAATGTTAAGTCTATTTAACAGGGAGACAAATACGACATTGTACCTAACAACCATAATTTTAAGGCATTCCTAACTTCAGAGATCGTGTGTTTACTGTAAAATTTGGTAAACAAACACAAGTTTATATTAATACTTAAGGGATCAAACTATGGTAAACAAACACAAGTTTATATTAATACTTAAGGGATCAAACTATGGTAAACAAACACAAGTTTATATTAATACTTAAGGGATCAAACTATGGTAAACAAACACAAGTTTATATTAATACTTAAGGGATCAAATTCGAAAATCTCTCAAACATGTTTGTGTGTGCGTTTATTCGTGAAAATCATAAGGCTTGTCGAAGTTAACATAAACTTCTAGACAATGTCTGAAAATGTTTGTGATTTCTTGAAAATAAGAAAAGTAATTAAAGGACAGAGCGATTGTAAATAAAATGCAAGGTAAAGTAAAAAAAAACATTTGCGTTGAAAGGTAAAATGCAAGGAAAGAAAAAAAAACTTGAAGTTAAAAGAGACTTGAAAGTAAAGTGCAAGAAAATGTAAAGTTGCGTGAAAGGTAAAGGAAGTCGAAAAAACCTAAATGCATAAAGAAAGACTTTTAAGATAAAATCTTAGAAATGTATTAAATTGGTGGAACGCATACATACATTTTCCTCACTCGTTTCTCACAACGCATGTACTTTGAGTGCAACAGAAATGTGTACAATTTGTGGACCCTTTACAAAATAAACTTAAGTGTTTATATATACAATACTAAGATAACTGCCTAAGTAGGATAAACTACTCTTATGGTGACACGTCCTCAGATCATGTAGTGGTTCACCCCGACGTGTCCCACGTTCTCTACGTAACCGTCAACGTTGATGTAGCAGTTCCTACCTTGTGATATCATTTGAATTTCTCAACTGCTTTATTGGCACCAAGAACTAAATATCTATGTCAAAGCCTTCGATGTCGACCATGTTAATGTAACATGTTTCGTCGTATTGTCCATTGTAGTGATGAACTCCAACCTTATCCAACATGGCATACTATTCCATTGTAATGACGGACTCCGTCCTTATCCAACATGGCATAATATTCAATTTCACTAAGTGGCTAACATAACATAGTACTCAGTTTCACTAAGTCTCTATGCTTCTTACCGTGCCTTTCGACTACGCCACCTTCGACCAGAATCCCCTTACGTGATTCTCGACCTCGATTCATCTTCCTCAAGTTCAATTTCATGACTCCTTAGTGAACTGATTAGTTCCTCCAAGGAGATATTGTTTAGATCTTTAGCCATTTTCAACGCAGTCACCATAGGTCTCCATCTGGTAGGTAAGCTTCTGATGATCTTTTTCACATGATCAGCAGTAGAGTATCCTTTATCCAGAACCTTTAGTCCAGCTGTAAGTATTTGAAATCTGGAGAACATAGCTTCAACAGATTCAGAGTCTTCCATCTTGAAGGCTTCATACTTCTGGATTAGAGCCATAGCCTTTGTTTCCTTGACTGGAGAGTTTCCCTCATGAGTCATCTTTAAGGACTCAAACATGTCAAATGCAGTTTCTCTATTTGTGATCTTTTCATACTCAGTGTGAGATATTGCATTTAACAATATTGTTCTGGCCTTGTGGTGATTTCTAAATTCCTTCTTTTGGGCTTCTGTCATAGATTATCTATCTACTTTCTTGCCATTCCCATCAATGGGATGACCATATCCATCTATGACTAAATCTCATAAATCAGCATCATATCCAAGGAAAAAACTTTCAATCCTGTCTTTCCAATAATCAAATTTCTCCCCATCAAACATAGGGGGTTTAATGCTGATTCTGTCCCTTTCTTCATATTTGTTGTTAATGTTAGACATTGAATTATCAGCCATAGTAACAACCAAATATATATCAAAGTTTTTCTCACTGGATCTTTACTGTCACTGTGAAGTGGTAGCACACACAGAACCGAAGCTCTGATGCCAACTGAAGGTGAGAAAATACTTAGAATGGGGGGGGGGGGGGTTGAATAAGTATGAAGATAAAACTTAGAAATAAAAAACTCAAGTATTTTTATCCTGGTTCGTTAAACTCAACTACTCCAGTCCACCCTTCCCAGAGTGATTTGCCTTTCTCAAACAAGGACTTAATCCACTATTTAATCAACTGATTACAATAGTAAGCACTAAGAACAACTGTTCAAAGTCTTCTCAAGAACTACTGATCCTAACTGGATCTTCTTAAGGTTTTCTTACAATCAAATGTAATAACAAATACAAGTGTTTAAAATGCTTCTAATAAAGCTTTATCACAACTGTGATTTTTCACTTAATATTAAGAACAAAGAAATTAATTCTAGAAAGAATGTGAGTTGAATGAGAGCTTTGAATAATGAATTCGTTTCAAGTAAAACGTCAACTGAAGAAGATGGTTGCAGACTTCCTTTAATAGGCACAGTGATCCAAGAGTATTTCACGTTGAGAAGAGTGTATCAAAAGGTCTGAGCCTTTTTTGTCTTCACATCAAGTGACCTTTCCTAGAAGAAGAAAGCACAGAGAAATCCTTTTTGTCTGTGTTCTTGTGTCTAGCATAAATAAGGAAAGAGTCGTTTGGATATTCCAACGGACATAATCTTTGAATTCTTCTTCATCAATTTTCAGCAAGAATCATCAGAGTCTAAATTGATCAGAGCCTTCTGATGTTGATCAGAGTTTTGCTGAATCAGAGTCTTTGCAGCAGGTGTGCTTTTAGCGTGTATAAGTTCAGAGCAGAGTTTGGTCAGATTCTCAGTACTGGCAGCGTGAGTACTCTCAGAGTCTTCTGAAGTAACTATACTTGAAAAACTCTTCATACAAAATTCTTCATTGGTTCAGATGCTTATGACTTGCTTCAGATTCTTCTGGAGCTTCTGCTTCAGATCCTTCTGGAGGCAACGCTCAAAATCTTCTGATGGCAGCGTTCAGAATCTTCTAATGGGTGCATCTGATGCTACAGAGTCTTGCATATTTCTTATGTTCAGATCGGATTTGCTTCTGGAGTGATATTTACTTTAATATCTGCAGCAAACATTCTTAAGCAAATTTTAGAGTATATAATTCTTAATTACAAAATTTCATAATTGTTATCATCAAAACATAGAGATATTATTAAGAACCAATCTGTGTTCTAACAATCTCCCCCCTTTTGATGATGACAAAAACATCATAAATTTTGTTTAATTGAAAATAGAATAATTATAACTCCCCCTGAGATGATGAATCTCCCCCTGAATTAAATATAAATAAGGAATAGAAACTTCCCCTTTGTCTTGAGTATTTTTCAGAGTTAGAGCTTGATTGTTCTTAACCATTTGAGAGTCAGAGTGTCTTGCATATTTCAGAGTCAGAGTGTGATAATTTTCAAATGAACTGAGAGTCTCAGAGTTTCTTTTACAGAGTATACTTATCAAATGTTATGAAATACTCAGATTTTATGTTAGATAAAATTGATATGTCTGAAGTTTCATTCTGGTGAAGTTTAATTAAACAGTTCAGATCTATTTTCTCCCCCTTTTTTGTCATAAGCAAAAAGTAATAACTTTGAAAAGACAAAGAAAAGGAAACCATAAATGAGATAAATCATGTGGAGAAAACTTTGAAACATTCATTCATTCATTCAGAGCAAAAGTACACACATCAGAAAATATTCAAATACATATGCAGACATTTGATGCAAACAATCAGAAGAAAAAATAAATAAA